CGGTTTGTTCTTCTGGCTGAGGAAGTGACTCTCAGAGGTTTACCCAGGGGTCCAGCCATGAACTTGTTAGATTTTAGCTGAGAATAGGTTTGTCTTTTCTTCACTTCACAGAGTTGACTCTCGATTCTCTGACTGTGGTTGATCTTGAGAGGGTTCTGCTGAAAAGAGTTTTCTTTTTTCAGCACATGGAATAATGCAGCTGTTAGTTTTTGGTGTATCTGAAGGAGATTGGAGAGTTAAACTTTGCCCAGCTCAGAATAAACAGGTGCACCAGGAAGCAGAAAATTGGAAATGACTTGTAGTATATATTTATCCTTTATTTTTTTCCCCCTTTAGGGAGAGTTCCCCATAGGAGAGCTTTGGGGGGGAGACGAGGATCTCCTCTGGGTAGAGGGCGGAGACCCAGAACCTCATTCCAGGCAATCCATGTTCCCACCCGTGACTACCTCTCCAGCAGGTGCTATAGCCACCCCAGGACTGGTGGGCTTTCAAGAGTCAAGTGGCACCGACTGCTGTGACCTTGGCCGTTCCCAGCAACTTAGCCCCTCCCTTCCTGCCAGTTTTTCAACCTATTATCTTTCTAACAAAGCCAGTTTCTGTTATCTTAGCCAAAGTCAATTCCCAGTACTTGCAACCCAGTTTGACAGAAACCTACATGTGTCATTGGAGGACATGGTTTAAACAAATCAGGGATGTTGGAAACATGGGTCACTACACAGCAGTACAAGAGTAATGGCAGCTTGATGTGTACTGAGCTGGGAAGCTCTTCGAGAGAAGCAAGAAAGGGCAACAGGACAAGTGCTGTATAGCACCACTTGGCTACAAGTTATCATTGTACATTTATGTGTGTGTGTTACTAGTAGAATAAAATGACCCATGAAAGGACTTTATTTTGTTCATGCTTATTTCTCCAGGTCTAAACAGTAGCTGGCACACAGTGGGGATTCAAAAATATTCATTTAATGAATGCACTGTATAGGAAAAGATCTAGACAAACACATGTCAAACTGAAAATAGTGACTTTTTAGAGGAGGGACTAATTCTTGGGCTGCATGACAGGGAAGACTTTATTTGTATTATTTTATTTTATTTTTTTTAATGAGGAAAATGCCTTCACATATTATTGTTTAAACAGTATAAAAAGAAAACTATATAACAGATGGTGAGAAAGTCATTAAAATAGATGATTTCAAAGGCCATTATAACAAATACTGGCAAAGTTAGCTGTCAAAGACAAGTGGAAATAATAGTTATTCTAGGTAAGTACATGACATTTTCCTGGGGCTGTTGGACATTTTGACAAGAGAACAAACTATTCAATTTTTGTTTTTCCTTTGTTTTTTTTTTAAAAGATTTATTTATTTATTCATACAGAACTGGGATACAGGCCAGAGATGCGGAAGGTGAGAGGATTCACCAGGAACAGAGTGGGGAGCAGAACAGGCAGATTGAAGAAGTACACTGCTGGGGAGAGCAGTGGGCGGGTCAGGAGAGGTCTGCCACGCCATGTGGTCACCTCCGGGGCAGGCGGGGATCGAACTCATGTGGAATTGGCTTAAGCTTCTTAGTGCAGTGCTTTAACCCGCTGCGCTACCAGGGAGGGCCCTTGTTTTTCCTTTTTAAAAAATAGTTAATAAGTACTATCCCTAACCAGGTGCAACACTGATGCCAGATTCAGAAATGCTTATCGTGCATGTATGTGATACTTTACTTTCTGGTGTGGACATCAAAATATCCTGTCTCAATTTATGCAGAACACACGAAAGTGAAAAACAGATGCAGAACTGCAAGTCATTTGTATGACTTGGAGGGTGAATTTGTTGGGGTATATGGAGGGGATGATCTTGGGATGGGGGGCTGTGTACATCAATATATAGAATTGTGGGCTATATACAGGAGGTTGAGAATATATAAGGACTGTTCGCCTTGGATTCAGGGACCAACATGAGGGACCTGCCATGCGTACACTCTCCAGTCTGCCCTCTTCCCATGGCTTGCTACCGAATAAACCCATTTTGTGGCTGGAATAACTGAACATTTTTGCTTGAGATCAACAGGATCGGGGCAGGCCCTTCTCTTTCTCTTCCATCTTGTTCTTTCTTTTATTTCCTTCACCTTTCTTTCCCACCTTCCCATCTCAAGGCTAGGAGATTAGAACAGCTCTTCTACCTCAGAAATTTAGTCTTTTACAGTAGCTAAGCTCATGGTATTGCTCTGAAACCATCCACAGTCCTGGCCTTCTTCCCATCTGCATACTTCTGAATTCCTAGGCGTCCATTTTCTACTTTGATATTTAACACTCCACAATTCTAAACAGCCTTCTGATGTGACTTATGTATGTTCGTTTTGTCTCCCCAAGTCTATTGTAAACTCCTTGAGGGTTGGGGCCACTTTACTGTGACCTTTTGTTCAGTCAGACTGTTGGAAAACAGATGACTTGCTGAACTTTTGTGATTTCCTGCTATAGAGCCTGCTTATCACCAGGTTAACAATCACTACCTGGAAGGAGTATGATGATTTCAGGGGAGCTGTATTACCTTTGCCAAAACAGGGTGTGCAGCCTTATTAATTGGGGGGCACCTTTATAGCACTTAGCATTGATAGTCACTTTTAATCAGAAGTCACAGAGGAACAATTGTTTATGAGGAGAAATAGAATATATCCTTCTTCAGAGTAACTGATTAAACTGTCACTATAAGTATAATGTCTGGTCCCTATCACGATGGGGACAGAAAGTTTTCTGAGAAAGGAGTGTAGCATTCAAATATTCATCATATCACCTCGAGCTTTTATCTAGTCTTGGTAGGGGCCAGACACTGTTCTGTGTAGCAGCTTTTCAGCGGTTATCTAATTTAATCTTCCCAGTACTCCTTCTTAGAATTTTTGTTATCCTTATGTTCCAGAAGAAGTAATATTATCAGAAAGTTGAGTTACTTTTTCTGAGGTCATACAGGCTCTAAATGATGAAGTCTGGATTTGAACCTAGGCTGATTCCGGACATCTGCCCCTCACTACTGGGCTCTCTGTCTCCAAACATTATGGATTTTATGTAAAAATATCATCCAGGGCCCTTCCTGGCGGTACAGTGGGTCAAAGCACAGCACAATGAAGTTATCTGCAACTGCTTCAGTATGAGCTCAATCCCTGGCCAGGGAGCTGACCTATATGGCACAGCAGACCTCCCCTGACCTGCCTGCTGCTCCCCTTAGCAGTGTTATTTCAGTGTATCTGCCTGTCCTGCTCCCCACTCTGTCTCTGGTGAATTCTTTCACCCCCTGCACCTCTTGCCTGCACCCCAGTTATTGTATGAATAAATAAATAAATCTTAAAAATATGTCATGCAAAAGTTGATCCAGAAATAGAGTTGCATGGTGTTCTTTTCATATCTGAAGATTTGAACATTTCTTCTATGTGAAAAACATCTATTTAATCCAATCAATCAATGTGCTGGGTGTCATGGCACCAGGAAAAAACAAACAAACAAAATAAAACAAACCAGTCCATACTCTGGGAAAAGGACTACATTGAGTTTTGGGTTCCTTGCTTTGTATAGATAGCAGCTACACAGACTGAATTTTTTGTGGCTATTTGGGGTTCAATGAAAAATTTCACTGATAAATCTTTGTTGAATTTTGTGTTTCTCTTCATGCTTTGCTCAATGAAGGTAAATTGTTAAGCATAAAACTAAAGGTGATTCAATTTTTGAGTCGGAAAGCAAGTCTAAGAACTTGTTTAGTCATTTGTTTAAAAAATATTTACTGAAAGGCCACTATGTGCAAAATGTCACGGGGGCAGAATAGACTTAGTCGCTGACTGCTTTTTTTTTTTTTTTAATGTATTTATTAATGTAGATAAGAACTGGGGTGGAGGCCAGAGGTGCAAGGGGTGAGAGGATTCACCAGACACAGAGTGGGGAGCAGAACAGAGAACAGGTGAATCCACTGAAATACACTACTGAGGGAAGCAGTGGGCTGGTCAGGAGAGGTCTGCTGTGCCACATGGGTCAGCTGGCTGGTCCCGGGATCAAACTCATGCTGCAGTGACTGCTGAGAGCTTCTTAGTGCTGAGAGTTAACGGTGTGCCATCGGGAGGCCTTCCTGACCACTTTTGGCAGAAAGTCTAGTTGGAAACCTTCGCATTAAACAAATGGCCACAGAAACAACTGTAATTAATGCTTCCCTGGTGGCACAAGGCGTAAGTCTCACTGCCACCAAGCTATTGTCAGCCACCGGAATAGCTGCCTCAGTTGCATTTAAATTGGGACCTGAAAGACAATGAAGTGAAAACTGGAGGGTGAGAAAAAGCAGCACATGCAAAGACTGAAGTTGGGAAGAGTTTGTGGAGAAATGGAATCATTTGTTGGGGAGCATCCTGGGAAAATTTTGGATGACAGAAGAAACAACTGAAAAAAATCCCTAGAAAAATTCAGCTTAAAAAACAACAGAAAAATGCTTTAACTTTACAATGTTCTTACACATCTGCTGCCTTATTTACTCTTCATCAGACGCCTGTGAAGCAGGGAGGGCTAGCATAATGTCGGTTATTTCTACCCGAGGATTAAGATCAGTTAGGGACAAAGTGATGTTATATAGCTTTTGGTTTCAAGATACAGATCTGAGGGGGAAACTGGGATCTCTAGAAAGTTGTAAGCAAGCAACTGTGGTCTGAAGAAAGCATACTGTGAGTTCTGTAATTCGGAGATTTACACGTCAGAACAATAGTTGGGCTTAAGTAGAATCTAAACGCGGGTGGAATGCCAAGGCATAATCAAAATAAAAACTACAACTCCCGGCATGCCTCGAGGCGGGGTTCTCGGTGGCCTGAGCTGGCGCAATCACCCACGACGGTTACTTATTTGAATAGACCAATAATATCACGAAATTCATGTTGAGGCGGGAGCGATCAGGTTACCCAATGGTATGAAGAGGAAGAAGCACCTCAGCCAATCCAGAGTCATGGGGGCGGGGCCTGAGGTGGGGCGGTAAAAGAAGTTTGCTGACTAAGATGGCGGCTGAGGCGCAGGGTGAAGGGGAGGTGCCAACCCGCGAACCCGGCCGGAGGTGAGCTGAGTTCTTGGTCCAGCTGCCTAGGAAACGAAGCCGTGGGCTGGTCACACTGACGCCTTTCCTTTGGGTCACGGCGACCTAGCGGGACTGGGCTTTGTGGCTTTCCTCGCCGCGTTGCGCACGTCGTGCCTGCGGGGGCTGAGGCCCGGCTAGGGCGCGGGTTGGGTCCTGCTGATGCGGTGGGAGGTCATCTCCTGTCTTGGCTGCAGATAGACCACTGCTGGGGCAGCGCTGTGGGCCGTGGCGCTGAGGCTTCTCGGGCTGGTGAGGAAACAGCCCAGAGCTGTTAAGCCAGATCGCCCAAGTCACACAGCGAGCGCTGTCGGTACCTTTCAGTGGGCTTCGCTGCAGTTTACGTGATTAAGTCAGAGCATGGATTTGAATGTCAGAATTGGGTTTTAGGCCTTGGATCGATTAAAAAAATTTTTTTTTTAAATCGTGGTGGTTAAGGACTTTTCAAAAGGAGACCTACCCTAGCGGAATATTTAGTACGCAATCCAGTATTGTTGACTGTAGGTACCGTATTGTACTGCAGCTCGCAAGAACTTACTCATTGTGAGACATTGTCTGTTAACTCGTCACTCCCTCCCCGACCCTCAGCCCCTGGCAACCACTGATCCATTTTAATTCTATACATTTTATTATTTTAATTATATTTAATTTGATAGTATTTTAGAATCATGCAATATTTTGTCTTCCTGTAACTGTAACTTTCACCTAGCATAATGTTTTCGAGTTCCATCCATGTTGTATATGTCAGAATTTCCTTCCTTTTTTAAAGCTTAATGATAATTCCATTCTATGTATATACGACATTTTTCTTCTCCATCCCTGGACGTTTAAGGTATTTTCACACTTTGGCAGGTCAACATTAACATGTTCTGTTTGTGAACATGGGAATGCTAGCTTCTCTTTAAGATTGTGATCCCAGTACTTTGAGAAAATATCCAGAGGTGGGGTCGCTGAATTTGGTATTTTCATTATTCTAAGGACTCACCATACTACTTCCAGAGCAGGCACACCTTTTTATACTCCTAACAGTGTACAGAGGTTCCAGTTTCCTGTTGTTCTCACCAACACTCTTTTTTTTTTTAATAGCCATCCTAACAGGTATGAGGTGCTATCTCATTGTGATCAGGAGCATGGCAAGGGGGCCCACTCTTGCCCCTTCTATTCAGTGAAGTAATAGAAGTCCTAGGTAACAAGTTAGGCAAGAAAAAGAAAGGAAAGTCATATAAATTGGAAGGAACAAATGAAATTGTCCCAGTTTGCAACATGATCTTATATATACATATATAAGAAACTGAAGATTTAACAACAGTAAAGAACTGTTAGAACTAATAAATTTAGTCAAGTTACAGGATATAAAATATACAGAAACCCATTGTTTCTATATGCTGTGAACTGTCTGACAAGGAAATTAGGAAATCTGTATTATTTACAATATCAAATAATAAAATACTCAGGCCAAGTTATAAACCTCACTCAGCTTCAGTTTCTTTATTTATATGTCATGATGTTTATTAGAGAAAATGTCAGGATTAATTAGATAGTTAATACATTCAATAACATGATAGATTTTACTTTCTCCTAGTAGAAAACTGAAGAACAGAGCAGAGGGGTTTTAGTTTTGGAAATCATTGCATAATTTCTACAGAGCTTCTCTCCTAAGCACACACACTGAAATGTAGCATATCCCACAAAGAATTTTCTGGTGTTCTTCCTCCAGCCTGAGGTCTTAGTTGTAATTGTTTACATATGTATACATTAGGATGCTGTAGAGTGAGCTTATTTACATTGCAGCTGTAATCCAGTAAGACCCTTTGATGTCTCCTGTCCTAAGTACTGAATGGGAGATTTCAGGTATTGGGAAGCTGGGTTTATGAGTGAGCACCAGACACCTTCCCTGCCTGAGATGTCCATGGTTGAATGTGTTACTTGATATTTTATAGGAAAGAGTTTTCCATTCTTGTAACTGTCTATAAGTGATTGGCTGTTTTTTTGCCTGGAAACCATAGAGGGATTGCTAGATCTGATTATTTAGATCAGCCATCATCCTACTCAAAGGTTGCCTTGTGAATGAAAACCTGAAATATGAATTCCATGAAGTATGTTGCTAATTGAATTAAAATTTTGGGTACTAATCACATGATTAACAGATATTCACAGACACAGATATCTGAACCTGAATTATCATTTCCACTGTTTGTCAAATGTAACATCAATTGTGCATAAAAGAGAAGTTTGTGTTCCTATAATGCTTTTGGGGCAGGACCTCCCTGATCCAATACACCCATGCACACACCTGCACACATTTATATATACCAGGCACTTAGTTGTGTGTAGGCGGTCTTTGATGAATGAATAATAGTCTTTGTCATCTCTAAGACATAAAATATTACCTTGCAATGATATATACCATACCACTTCCCTTTTTTGCCCTGTAGATATTAAACTTTTGAAGGTCATGTTGTTTTTTTCTTTGTAGCTCAAAGAAGAGGAAGGAATAGCCTGATTTACACAGGTCATTACCTATTTTGCATGTTGAATTATCATTCAAAAAGGAGAATATGTAAATGGAGAATAGATAATCACTCATTTAGAACTATTTCTCTTCATATTATATTCCTAATAGATACTTTAAATTGTTATATTGTATTCTTAACAGATACTTTAAATTGCTTCAATCACTTAATTAAGAAAAGAAATGCTTTGAGGCCTGAGTTCAATCCCCAACCAGGGAGCAGATCCACAGATGGCATAGTAGACCTCTCTTAGTCTCTCACCCTCTGCTCCTCTGCAGTGTATTTCAGTAGATCCACCTGTTCTGCTCCCCACTCAATCTCTGATGACTCCTCTCAACACCCCTTTTCCACCCCTATACCTCTGGTCTACACCCCAGTTCTTGTATGCATAAATAAATAAAAATAAACCTTAAAAAAAGAATGATACTGGGATTACATAATGAAAAAGTTCATTTATTTTCATGTAGAACACAATTGCCAAAAAGTCAAGCCACATTAGTAATAACAATGAAACTAAAGGAAAACACAACAAAAACAGGAAACCAGGAATCATGAAGATCAGACACCAAGAGAATGTACAGCAGTATTATTAGTAACATGTTAGAAGATATCAGATATTTTCTGCTATCTAGAGATCATCACATGCACTCTGAAATATGGCTAGGTTTTGTATACTTAAGCCTGTTTATTATTTTAAAGATTTATGAAGTTCAGGATCCCTAAAACCCCTTCACTGACCACAATAGTTTCTTCACTCAAGTATCATGGTCCATTTTGTTTATTTTTTAAAGACCTATTTATTTATGTATGCAAGAACTGGGATACAGGTAAGAGGGGTGCGGTGGGTGAGAGGATTCACCAGAAACAGAGTGGGGAGCAGAATCGGTAGATCTGAAATACACTGCTGAGGGGAGTAGCGGGAGGGTCAGGAGAGGTCTGCTGTGTCATGTGGGTCACCCCTCTGGCTGCAGTGGCTGTGGATGGCTTCACGGTGCTTCACTTTAATCTGTTGTGCCACCAGGGAGGGCCCAGCATGGTCCCTTTTATTATTTTTTTCATTTGGTAAGGTCATTTTTGTAGTAGCTATCTTTATGATTAAAACAATTACATCTGGTGCTCAGTCTGCCTAAATGGTTCGGATGAACAAGAGATCACTTTTCAGTCTGTTTTCGTCAAATAAAACATGACAAATTAAAAATAAGTCCACTGATATGAAAGGTAATACTTATGTCATTTCTTAACTTCATTGAAAATTTGACTTCAGGGTATGTTTATTACGATTGTGCAGTCGGTGGGAGAGAATAGATAGAGAGACCAACAATGGTGACTGGGCATTCGGTGATGGGTATGGTGTGGGGTGATAGTTGCTATAAGGTGAGAAATTGCACATAAGGTTGCTATAAGGTGAGAAACCCTAACAGTGATGTAAACTACTGTTACCTCAATAAAAAAAAAAAAAATAAGGGCCTTCCATATTTTTGTGTACTGCTGGAATTCAAATTAGAGATAAGAGGTCCAGTTTGCAAAGTCTTGGACAGCTAAGGGCAAATCTTGCATGTAGATATTTTCAGTTTTTGTCTAAGATACAGGATACTGTTCCCTGAACTCTTGGTATTACCAACTTTGAGCTATTCAAAAAGCCTCTTGTTTATCACTTGTTTGTGTTCCTATTTAAAATTCTCCAATAAAGTGACATATTCAGAAGCTTTTAGGGTTGAAAAGGCAGTAAGAGAGTGCATACTTTTCTCAGGGTGGTAAATCCAATTTAGACAACTTTAAATATAGCTCACATTTTGATAGATGTTGCCAAGGTTGTGGTTCTTGGAGAACAAATCAAGTTAAGCAATTCACTAGGGAGGAAACATTTAGTTTTGTGGGTATGCAGTTTTGGTAGTCGCCAGCCAAAAGATACATCTACAGGATACAGGTTTGTTTCCCCTACTGCCTTGAATTTTGCAGATTCATGTGTGCAACATGCCTCAAAAGATTTCACTTTTCTGTAATTGACTTTTCAGCTGTGGATTGTTTCTGTTCCTTATCACTTTACGTGTAGAGTTCCATCTAGTGGTAACAGTGGTAATTGCAGACTACGTAGATTTTAAAAATTGATCTTTTCGAGAGGTAGATCTTACCTCTACAGGCTTCCCTCCACTTCCTGAAAACAGATCTTCCTTATTTGGTTTGTTTTAGGAGGTTGTATTTTTGGATTATGGGGAGAACCTTTATCACTCTAATGGTGGTTGCCTCGTATATGCATTTAAATACCGAACTCTTGCTCTCTCTCTATTGCTCTCTCTATATGCGGATATACTTACTAACAATTCAGGTTCTGATCATCACTTTTATGGTTAGGGTAGTATATTCTTTTATTTTCTATGATAGTTACATGAAATTGTAGCAAAATTTGGTCAGAATTACTTGATTTCTTCAAAAAATTTTGTCATAGAAAATGTTGCTTATACATGTAAG